GTATTCTCATCTAATCGCAATCCCCACCACCTGAAATTCTCACAAATTTTATCCGAACGTTCACAATTATTTTATTGACTTCAATATTACTCCGGATAATTTTTCGCATGTATATAAAACTTTCCGGGGGACTATAAAAGACAAAGTGTCTCCCACGTTCCGGTTTCGACGCGACTCGAGAGTCCGTCTAACAACATTTCCACATGGAATAACAGAGGGGCGATGCAAGAAGAGGGGGGAAACGGTAATAATTGTTGAATGCTCGTAAAGACTCGAGTCACCGATAACAATCTCGTAAAAGAACCGGGTCTCGCGCGCAGGCTTCTTTGCCTAATAATAATAATAATGACCGTGTTATTCACCAGGAGGGTTGATCCTACCCCGGCCTCGATGAAAAATACTATCGTCTGATGGGGAATCGTTATCTGTAAATACTTCCGCGTTGACGCGAGGCATTAGCCCTTTACATCTTGTCTCGTTAATTTTATCAAAAAATGGGAGGACTGAATGATTAAATTAATGCCATGATCGTATTTATTGAGATTTTACCACTTAAATCTCACGGAAAATTGTCCGTGGGAATAAATCGAGTGCAAATTCCATCAAATTTAATTTCATTCCATAAATTAAATGACACATTAGATAATCAACGGTATTAAAATTATATTTAGGAGAATTACTCCTTTGAAACGTCATTTTATTTATAAATGAATGATGAAAATTTTTTTAACTGATTGTTCATTAATAATTTACGAAAAAAAATCGTATTTTATGATAAAATATATAAATAATGAAATAAATGATGAATGAAAATTGTTTAGACTGATTGTTTACGAAAATGTTGAATAGAAACTTCTAATCCTCTGATCTGGTGTTTAAATTTCCGTTCTATCGATTGAAAATAGATTAAATTGTCAATTGAATGCATTTAAGTGTGTGACGGAAGACGATTGGGGAGTTGTGAGACGAAGAACGAGAGAAATTCTGATCTCAAATCGTGCTGAATGCTCCCCGAGATGGATTAGAGTCCACGGACAGGGTCGAAAGGATTCGATTGATGGTGAAAAAGCGATAAAATAGAGCAGACATGAAGAAAAAACGATGCATTCAATGCATGAGAGACCGGAGGGTTGGGAAAAGGGTTAATCAAGTCGAACGTTTTCAATTATTCCAATTTCGTGTCGATGGGGTAACCCTGGGACGCTGCGATCGATCGTCTGCTCTCAGCCATTCTCCCCTCCCTCTTCAATACAAAAATTCCAATTGAGTATTAATGAATTAGAATCCTCGAGCCGACGTTTTCATATTCACAATTTACCAAATTGCTCGCTTCGACGGTGAATAATGCTCCCTTCCTTCATTTTTTTTCATATGAAAAAGTTGAGTAACTCATTGCTCACGACACGAGAACATAAATAAAAACAAGTTGAGGGAAAAATTGTGGGAAAAATTGAAGAATAAATGATGAATAAATAAATAAAAGATTTGGGGTGGAAGAGACGAGTCTGTCATTAGCATGTGCGAGTCGTATAATTCATCAGGCTGGATTGAAAATGCAGACGTGTGCCGAGGGGGTTGCTATATGCGGATGTATAACCAGCCGGAGGCCAAGTAGAGCAGAGGCTCAAGGGTGGTTTAATCACGTTAAGTAACTTCGACCTGCTTGCCTTGGTGGATGCGTTGAGGGAAAACCGGGGGATCTTGACTAGAGTGGCTGTAGACATATTCGCATTTCCGCCACTTTGCATCCTTCCGTAATCTTCTTTTTACTTCCCTCATCTACCTTTATCTGTTTCGCCTTCTTTCGAGTTTATGCAATGGGTTATTCCGAGGCTTTTTTTTTTCTGTTTGGCGTCGTGATTTCAAATTAATTTCGCTCAAATTAATTCTTTGGGGCTCACTGGGAGAAAAAATTGGGGTTCAGCTGGAGAGAGCTTTTGTCGGGGTGAATCAATTTACTTGTGAACAAAAAAGAAAGTTTTCACTGAAATAAAACGTGGTAATTTCGAGGGGACAATTTTGTTTTGGGAAAAAAAAATTATTTTGTCTGCCAACAGTTCGAATTCTTCTACGGATATTTATGATGATCACGACCAAAATTTAATTGCAGTGTAAAATGTTAAATTTCCGACTATCAAGTTGATTAATTTTTTCATTTTTCTATTCTCTAATGAAGTTTTTCTTACTAAATTTCAATTATCTAATTTAATTATTTTTTCAAGTCAAGTGAATTCTTCGCTTTGCCCTTTTCCAGGATAATTCATAAAATAATTAAAACATTTCAGTTTTTAATGATTATTTTGAAGTAATCATTAAAAACCTCAATCATTTACAAACCGAGAACTTTTGAGATAAATAATTTCTTTTAAAATGTAACTTCAATTCCGTTAATTATCCCTGAATAATTCCAAATTCTTCAACCTCGTGATTGACTCCTCTCCCCCAAATTACCATCAATCACTCCCAAATTCATTTTAATTACGGCAATTCGCTTTTTGTCGTGTTTATATTAACCCCCAAATGCAATTTGTTAAGTTGGCTCTCGAGTCCCAGAGGCACGGTATCTCGTGGCGATATCTCTGGGTAGAGTTGTAGTTAGGTTCATGATCGGGCAAGTAGGTCGGCCACACACCCCCCTCCCGCCACATCCTCCTCTCCCAAAACTACCTGTCTGCCGCTCTCTCTCTCTCTCTCTCACTCAGACAACCCCCTCCCCTCCCCGCCCAACCCCCTCTACATCGCCCCTCTCGATTCACTCTGGAATCGATATTCGATATTTAATTTCAACAGCAGACCACTCTCGTGCACTCCACTCGTGACTTCCGACGATTCGAAAGAGTGCTTCTTGAGTCGTTCATTCTCTCCTCCAAATAGTGCGAAATGCGGTGGGATCATCCATCCTCAGGAGGGATCACAGGATGGACCACAAATCACTTGATGCACTTTGGGATTCTTCTTATCAAATTGCCAGGTGCCGGTGATTTGTTTATCCTTCGGGATAGGTTTTTATGGGGCTCGAGGGCCAGTGGGTCAGGGCTTGACGATTTGTTTTGCCGTGACGTATTGGAAGAGAAACAAAATAGTGGAGATTCCAGGGTGAATGAGGATTTCATGAGGACAAATGGAATCTTCCGGGGTGCAAGTTACTTGTGAATGATGGAGATAACGGGGGATTGAATGGGACATGTCGATCCGGTAACATCTTTTCGAGTTTCGGTTGACAAAGTGCCAAATCCACGGTTATTGAGACTCGATATTGCGGAGTAACTCGTGGCAGTGGAGGAAATAATGATTTTTTGGGGGAATCGATGGAATTGAAAGGTTTTGATTGAATGGAGTGGTAATTTTGCAAAAACAAGGATGTCCACGTATGTTTTACAGTTTGTTGCAGGCCACAATATAGATTCGACCGTTTTCAATCGTCAAATTCGTGAATTAAATTGCGTGAGAGAAATTTGAAGAAAATCATGAATATTCAGCGTTATTAAAATTACATTTTAAACAGAGTTATTATTTTTTTAAACATTCATTGTTTATAAATAAATAATTAAAGATTAATAAATTTGTTACGATTCCGAAGAAATGATTTTTATGGTGGAAAATTAATTGTTTATGAAGTATTCCTCATATTTTTAAAATGTTTTCTAACGGTTTAATATCGAGATTCCAATTCGAACCTGTAGTTTAAATAATAAAATAATTGTAAGATGTCTGGAAACTTGAGGTCAAATGGGGCTCAAATGAAATCAAATTTCCAATTTCAATGAAAATTCAATGGGGGAAGACGAAAGCTCGCCAACTTACTCAAATTTTCATAGAATTATTGAATTAAAATAAACAGTTTCCGTTAATTTTCAATGTTGAACTTGCTTGAAATTTCAGTGGCAGTGTCACTCAATAATGTTATAATATGAATAATTAAACTGAACTTTCCAATTAGTTTGTCACTAAAGCGTGAATTTTCAATTACGAAATTCCTTGAAATTGCAGTGGAACTGCAATCATTTTCTTTTTGCATAAAGAAAAGGCTTGTCACTCAGCCCTTATAATACGAATGGCAGCTCACGATAAAAATGATTAAATTAAAAGTTGACGTGACTTCATGTTCGAATTATAGGATAAAATGCGACATTGAGGAATCCGCGGAGAATGGAATATCAGTTTGAGTTATCCCCATCGGTGATATTAATTTATCGGATTCGTTTATTCAGAGGGAGCCGCTGGGCTTCATCTCGACGAGTTGAAAGGGCTAGGAATTCGATCGAACCACCATGGAACGTGGTGAGGAAGTGAGATAGTAGAACGATTGAATATTAAGTGGCTGGGACTCTTGGCATGGAACCCAAGAGGTAAATGGAGAACGGAGGACGCTGAATTTTCGTTGAAATAGTTTGATAGAGAGAGATTCATGTTGCAGGGGAAAATGGAGGTGATTTCAGGGGGTCGATATTCAATTTTTAATTCACGACGTTTTTGTCATTTAGAAAAAAATTTAAGTTTCTATTTTAAGAACAAATATTGCATTAAATTAAAAAACGGGAAGAATTGAACTGAATTTTTTAAAAATTCTATCTGTCAATGTAAAAAAATTGATAATTAAAAGCAGATAATTTTCTTCTCCTCTCGAATCAACATCAAATTTAACCAATTTTGAAGTTTACTTTTTGAAAAAGATTTCGTGAGGGAATTCCTCAAATGTTTGGATCTCAATCTCAAAAAAAATTCACCCCAAAGTTGAATTCCCTCATCCCATTCCCCTCCCGAATTACGGGGAAACACGGAATACGTTAGAACAAAAATTTTGCAGACACTGGAAATTCGTTAGACGAGTGGGTTGACCGCCAGTCTTTGACTCGTTAAGTCAATAATAGACCCAACCAAGAGGCAAATGGTTAATTCATGAAATTCTACCCACGCGCATTCATACAATTCAAATAACACGATCAGAGATTATTCGAGCATCGAGAGTAATCATTTATTAATGTTATTTCATAACTCACGTGGTGGTTTGGAAGAGTCCGTTGGTGGCACTTCAGTCAGCTGTAACAAAAAAAATTTCAACTCCTGAAATTAATGTTTCCAGAGGAATAATGACGTTGTGCATGAATGAACGTGCACAAATCGTAATATCTGCTTTACAAATTATCTACGACAATATCACATGTTTTTATGCCCAAGGACAATGACAAGAACATATTTCGTTGAGGCTGAGAAGCACGACGCACTTTACACGGATGCAAAATTTCTTTAATTCACGCGGGAATTTCAGATGATCAACTGAAATTTCACATGAAATTTCCTCATTACGTGCGAAAAAAAATTCACTGAACCCAAAGGGTTGAGAACAAAACCTCTTGCATTGAGATTTATGATTCGTTCAATATGATTAACCATTTTACATTTATGTGAATCATCATGGTCAAGTAGATATAGCAAACCTGTCATACAGAAGTTGCCGAGTTGAAGTGCATCGGCAGGGAATTGAATGAACTCATGTTTAAATTGATTCAAGTTTATGTTCAGTGACGCATTGCCCAAACCAATGGCCGATAATATTCACATTGCGACTTTACTCTATCAAAACCATGAATGAAAGACGTTTATACTACTTCACACTTCGGTGTATAAATTATTTTGATTTCCTCAATGCCTTCCAGAGATTATGTAATGCCAAGAGCCAAAAAATGCCCCTACAAGGTTTCCCTCATTACCAAAACATGTATTCACATGAACTTTAATTATGAACTTGGCTACTATCCCCCGAAGGATTCGATTTGACAGTCTCCGCACATGTCCAACAATACCCAATGCACAATCTCCGCTGAAATCACCTTTAAACACTGAATTTCAAATGAAATGCAAATGATCCTCATCACATAACCCCCGTATCATTCAACGTCTTCACCATTTAAATATAATCCTCAACTAGGAGGTCAACTGAACCTTAAATTCCTTAACATCTCCAACTTTCATCCTTTATCTCAAATTATGCAGTAAAGAATTCATTGAATATACACAACAGAAAAACAAAGATTGCGCGATGGAATAAAACAGCCAGTGAATATTACCCAGAGAATAACCCCGGCTATAATTTCGCGACTTGCTATTCATTTCTTTTATTTCTTCGGGCTTTGCCTTAATTAAACTCGGTTTATCCCTCCACCCCTCGCCATTAAAAATCTGCGTTCACTAATTCGCACTGGAAGTCACGATATTTTTTCCCCGTTTTTTCCTTTCATTTTTAAACGACTGTGCGGTTCATCCCCCGACCCATCCCCTCGAAAAAAAAATGGAAATGCGACAGGCCACTTGGTGGCTTTGGTGGGCTCCCTGTGTACATCCACCAAAGGGGGATGAAAATTTATCGCGCGGAAGTGCTTATCCCTCTTTACGTTTTACATTTATTTCCAACGCGTCCTCCACTTGCGATGGCAGAGAGACCAAAGAACATTTCATCGGGGAGCCTTTGCTTTTTTAAACAAGAGAGACGGGTATAAATGAACTGGAGAAATTTACGCGGCGCATCCACGCGCTCCAGAGGTGCGAGACCGAGTTAACTCGTGCCTTTACGATCCTTATTTCCACGGGGACTTCGGCTCATCCTATCCACAATGCGTCTCTTCCCCCTCACGTTAGAAAAAAAAATTAGTCCTCTCTCTTCTTTTCTCTCTTACTCTATCTTCCGCATCGTACAAATTTCTTGAGAGCCAGCCAAGTGGAACGAATTTTACCGCCATCGAAAATATACCGAGAGCATTTTCATTGAACATAATATTATTTATCTCCGATGAATTCGGGGGTCGGGGCAGGAAGCTCATGCTCATTCCTGATTTATTCATCTTGATTTCAGTATACGGGGAGAATATAAAATTAAAAATTACGATGTAAACATAGTAATCGAGGGCCATAACGGAAAAACCTGAAAATTTGATTTATTTGAACTGAATTGTTACTCACAGCAAATTAAATTTTACTGCTATGCCACCACTTTCTACAATACAGACTCTCAATTTTTACTATGTTGAAGAGTATGCGGAGAGAAAAGTCGGATAAAATGGTCTAGAAAATCGCGGTATATTTTCCTATGCAAGAGGTAATCGGAGAGCGAAATTTTAATTCAATAAAAAATATGTTTTGCAGAGAATTTCTTACGATTTGGTCGTTAAAAAAAAACATCTGCTTCGATGTAGAGGACATGGGGACAGACGGAATTGCCCTCACGTTTAGAATGAAAAAAAAAGACCTAGAAATGAATTCCGCTCTTCGATTACACTGAGAAAAATTTCAATTGTCATCTTAACTACAAGGGAATTGTCAAAGAAATTATATTTACAGTAACAATAAACGTTGTAGATTAAACTAGGATTCATCGTTCGATTTACTATGTCAAATAGTGTCATCAACATTATGATGTGATTTTCACTTTAATGTAATAGTTGAATCGACAATGTTTATTGTTACCGTAACTATTATTTTTTTGGCAATTCCCTTGTAGTTGAAATTACCATTGAAATTCCTCTCAGTGTACTTGACTCGTTTGGTAATTTTTTCTCAACTTTTTTCTCGATATAAATTTTTGAGTGTGTCCTCGATTATTATGTTCCCATAGCAAAAAATAATTTTATATTTTTTCCGTGCATTGCAGGAGAGGTTTTTAGGTTTCAGATGTGCCATTGAACCACTTGGAGAGGATTCTCAGGGGATTTCTACGTCTATCTCGATGCGGAATTGTTATCAGGTTTATGAGGTGATGAATGTCAATCATTTAACTGTACTTCTTTGAAGATGACCGTTAGTCGGAGAATACGCATTTCAGAGTAGAAAATTTGTTCGTTCGATCGAAGATGACATTTTGGATCCCAGTAGTTTTGCAAATATTCGAAGAATTTATTTAAAAAAAAAATGTATCTTTCGCAATAAATTGTAAGTTTGTTTTCCAATTTAAGATCAAATCGTTCACAGAATTCGAATATATTGAGCAATTAAGAACAATAATTTCGAAACTGCTGGAAAAATTTCCCAATAGTGCAGTTAATTTCCCAACTAATAATGTAAGAATCATCTTCGAATGAAGAAAAACGTTCTAAAGGTCAGAGGTGATATCCTCAATTGAAGCGATTGTTTTCTCTGACCAACAGCCCAAGCAATACCCAACAATTACATACCTTAGCAAGAACCGGATTAAATGTAAACTTAGACTCGGTTTCTTTCCTGGGAGTCTGTGCGATTGCCGTCAGAGGTGTGGGCGGCATCGTCATTTCCTGCAACAGAAGAAGATAAACCATGAGAGTACACCTAAACATTCGGAAGAAACCCTAAATTCTCCTCATTCTTGACAAAAAATTGGAATTGACGTCAATTGAGAAAGAAAATGCTCATTAAATTTTTCGTTTTACGTAAAATTCAGAAAGAAATTTCACAAATCACTCGAAGTCTTCAATTAAACATGAATATTAAACACCAAAATGACTTGAATGTTGAATTAATTTCACTGTTTTTTAAATGTGATGTTTCAAATTCAAATATGTATAAATAAAATTCGTGTATTATGTACAAAATAACCATTTGAAAGTATATTTTCTAATTTATTAGTAGAACTAACTATACCATATGCAATAGAAGAGCACTTTCCCACTTGTTTTAATTATAACTTCTTGTTTTTGCTGATTTGTGACCGTAAAGACAAATTAAATCTTTCCGAATTGACTGGAAAGATTTGTTCAATAATGATAAATATCGGAAAGTTATGGGTAAAATCCTGGAAATTCCGGATACATCTCTAAACTTTTTCTTGTAAACTTCAATCCTCTCAAAAAAATAAAACCAGAATACAACTGTACACCTCTCAAGTACATCAACCCGTGAGTTATGTAGTTTGCGGTTTCTCGAATTATGCAAATAGTAGAGGAAGGTGAGACGCGCGAGGGTGAGGATCCATGAAAAGGTGTTGAGGTACATTGTTATACGGGTTAGTGCGCTGAGCGCAGCACCCTCGTGTCCCTCAGTTTCGAACAAATGAGGTGCAATAAAATAATACGTATAACAGATTATCATCGTATAGACAAAGGGCGAGAGGGGGGGAGGGGGGAGCGGTGAGAGAGTGAAAATGAGGGGAGGTGAAAGCGAAATAGCAAAGTGAAGATTAACTAGTGAAGATTGTCAATTGTCATTGATCAGAAAATGAATGGACTTGGGTTACAAAGGTACAAGCGGTGTCTATCGGAGGGGTAAAATACGATGTTTTAGCATGGTTGTCACAACAAGACGCTGTAAGTGGAGATACCAAGGTGCGATACCCTTTTGGCCGCGCGTATGCCGCGCACCATCCATCGACTTATCGATTTGCCACGGCTACAAGCCCAACGCTGGGGCTACCGTCTCGGGGTTGGCTATGGTATGGCTCAAAGTGGAGAGAGTATATGGGTATATAGAATAGTCTGAAGGGGGAATCTCGTAACTACTTTTCCAACCCAGGCAAAAGCCTTGCTACGTTGCGAAGGTCTGAACAACTTTATGATCCCTATCCGTGGAGAGAAAGGGAGAGAAAAAATGGTCTATTTTCTCTTTCGCCGGGCTTTGTCTTGCTCTGGCCCTTTGGCTGGATGGCAAATATTGATGCTGTGAGGGGATTCTTTCAAGTATTGGTAATTGAGTATTTTCAGGGTAATCCTGGGGATATTTATACTGATAGTTTGGTTCTTCAGAGGGTGTGGTTTTTATATTCTGAAAGGTATCGATGGAGATGAGAGGAAAATTGTTTTGAATGCTTCTGCAGAAGGCTTTGGAGGCAATGCGGGCGTTTTTCGTGGAGCATTGGAGGCAGAGTGAGCATCAGGGTTGAAAATTTTTGTGTGAAATTTTCTGGTACAGTTGAAGTTCAGGGAAATTTGTCATTGAAAATTCTAAATTTCGGGGAAAATCGATGAAAACTGTAAATTCCCGCTCAATTATTCAATGAAAATTAATAGAAATAACGAAAATTCAGGGAAATTAAAAAAAAATGAAAATTCAATCAAATTGTGAAATTTCTGTCTCACTCCCACTGCAAAAGCTTTTTTTCTTCTAAATCGGATTCAATGTCACTCTCCTGAGAACTAGTCAACTGTTTAAAAAATTCCATTGTTTTCCTCATAGTGATTGATCGTTTATGCAAAATCCAAAGATAAGACTCGTGGCCGGGGTTTTTTCCCATTAAAAAATTCCCGGAAATTTTCCCTCGAGGAATTCTTCCCTTTCAAATTAATTTTCATTCCTCATTTATTCCATGTGGGTTTACTTGGAGTTTTTTTTTCAAAAAACGCTAAATGAGATGAAAATGAAAAACTTGATGAAAAAAGTGGTTTTTCTTCAATTCCAATGTTCATATGTCAATTTTAAATTCACTGCCATGCAATTCTTAATCCGAAATAATCACAAATGTGTCTGATTTAATATTTCCCAGGGAAATTGCCCATGAGTTTCTTTCTTGCGGCAATTGGGGAAGTTTTCTTGGGAAAAAAATTTTCGGGGAATTTTTCACCGGGAAAAACCTCCAGACACCGACAAGAGTTACATAAAAACTCGGCATGATAACGAAAGCCATAATACCGTAAAAACGATACAGTCAGATGTGGTTAAATTGATATAAGGCGTGCAACGCACCACCTGTACACGTGCTCAGGCAGGTGACTATAACCAAGCGAATAATTATGCCGAGCACGTGAAGAAGCGAAAACCCGTTACTGGACAAGCGGTCTAGTCGCGCGTAGGTGCTCACTTCCCCACCCCTCTCATCATCACGATCATCATCATCATCATCATCATCCTTGCCGTGCGGTGGAGCATCAGAAGAGGGGTATGAAGAACGTTGGTCTCGTCAACCTCAACCACTCGAGGCACTCGGGTAAAGAGCGGCCCTTGGGGCTCCCCCGTACGCGTAATGGATTCTCAAAAGTGTAACAATTTTCAGAGGGCTGCCTACACCGGGATTTTTTTATTTTCAATTCAATCCATTTCTCGCTTTTGCAATCATTTTTATCTGTCGAGAGGCGAATTATTTTTTGCTCTCTCTCCAACAAACTGTTATGCGGATTAATTCCAATTGCGTAAGCACTAAAACATCACGTACACTCTCACTCGTCATCTCAAGAGTCTTTAGCGCGCACGGGATTTTGTGACACAATCGATCCTCCACTCTGTCGATGCAGCCACAATGGTGAGTAGAAATAGAGTCGGCCCAGATTCTCACACCTGTGACGAGCCTGTTTGTCGGGACAACTTTTTTGTCGGTTTTTTTTTGCTGGCCTATTATTTTTACGCGACGAGTGATGAGTGGTTGACTTCTCTCGAAAGGAAGAATTGAATGAGAGCATTTCGACGATCAGACAATTACACTGGGGTGCAGAGAAATATTTCTCATGCGTTCGATGTGAAGAATTGACTCCAAACGTCAACAATGTGACGTCCTGACACTTTAAGGGTATCCGAGTACTTTGGCTATTTTTTCTTCAGTGAAATGCTTTTCTAGTTTTTTCGTCGAACATCAGAGCTTTCATTTGACCCTAAGTTTCATTTTACATTGACTTTATTATTTAAACATTTCAGGTTTGAATTTGAATATTGATATGGAAATAAATTAGAAAATTTATTTTTGGCGAAAGATTGAAATAATTTGTAAACAATCGATTTTATGCCTAAAAAAATTAAGTTTCCAAAAGTTTGAACACTTTCAATTATTTCTTTATGAACAACGACTGTTTGAAAAAATTATAATTCTGTGCAACATATAATTTAAATGACTTGTAATCAAATTACAAATGAGATAGGATATCCTTAATCCCCCTCGACGATGTCCACCACCTCAGAGCATCAGTTAACCCATCACATCTGTTCACAATAAAATAGCGTGTAATTGTGATAACGAACGACATTTGATACTGAAAATTTTGGCAAAGAGGATAGCGGTAGTTTGGGGCTCTATCCACGATGGCAATTAGCAGTAGCATTTACGATGCCTACCGGGCGCAACTCGTATTTTCCCACGGGCCAAGCCGTGAGAATAATTCATTCCATGCTCGGCCGAGTGTGCGTCCGTGCAAGCAGAGGGAGCGCAGCCGCGCGTCCACGATATTCCTCTTGTCTCCACCTACTACCACTATAACCACCACCCGCCGACTCATTTTCAACTGCACAATACCCTTCCAACCATTCTTCTTTCTCACTACGAGAGACTAAAAGTTCTCAATAAATTGGGGAGATTAAGAGTCATGGGTTTTTCCAATTGCGAATCGTCACACTGGTACAATTTTTGAATAATTTTCGGGGACAGTTTTGGATATTTTTATCATATACTACGGTTACACTGACATTTCAAGGATTTTCGTCCTTGAAAATTCAAAATTTCATGGAAAAATCAATGGAAACTATAAATTTCAGGTCAATTATCTTTTAAAATTAATAGAAATCAGTGATAATCAAACAAATACATCCTCGAATGTTGAATTACTTGAAAATCCAGCGTAATTTGTTATTGAATATTCACATTGTCTTCCGAATCCTAAAAAAATTGGAATTCCATCGAATTTTCATTGAAATCTGAAATTTTATTATTTATTCCACGAAATTTCGATTTTTTTCTAACAGTGTAAAATGAGAGAAAAATTTAGCTCTGAAGATGAACTATATGTTCCACGTAAAAATACCTGATGGAGTAGAACGGATTTACTTGAGGAAAATGAACCAACTTGATGAAAAAAATTTAATATCTTTCACAAAAATTTAATTTTTCAATTATTTCGTCAATCTTTCCCCAAAATTAATTTTCCTAATTTGTTTTCCAGATTTGAAAAATGTTTTCTAACGATTCAAAATTTAAGTAATAAGAGTGTAAATAATAAAATCATTGTAAAATGGGGCCCAAATGAAAGCTCCGCCGTTCGATTGCAAAACTAGAGAACCTTTTCACTGGAGAAAAAATATCCAAAGACCTTGGCTATCCTCAAACTTCACTAAAAAAAGTGGTAATTTTTACTAAAATGTTTTCTCAGCGCATCTTGTCCGCACTCTAACCACTAAAAATCCCCGCAAAAATTCAACCGATGTGTCACAGATAGGGTCCATGTTATGCATACGGATAAAAGCACACGTCGAGATGAATCATAGGGACACAGTTGCCATGGAGGACTAGGCAAAAGCCACCGGAGAGAACACAGTGCTACGAGCATGTAACAACACCGGGGGATACTGAAAATTACATGCGTGACTCATCGCCCAGTGGTGAGAGACAAGTCGGTGGTCTCTCTTTTGGATCAATAAGCGCATCTATTGTATTTACAGTCCAACAATCCGTTCAGGGACAATTTGAGGCTCCATTAGATCATGCAATTGTTTTATCACAGGAGTATCACATCGCCTTGAGGGATTTACGTAGTGTCTCGGGAGGATGTGTTATTTACTCAACTGAATATCATTTAATATTCAAATAATATTTTTCGTACTCACCTTGAGAATATTCTCGAGGTCGGCACTATCATTGAGATCGTGTCTCATTCCCTGTAATGGAAAAAAAAATTAATGAAAATTATCATTCTAATGAGTCAAGTCTTAATTAATTGCAGATGCATGGAGATGTTTGTGAGTCATGTGGGGATGATCCACTGAAATATCTATTTATTTGCGTGTTTAATCACCCTCAATGAGGCAAAAACAATAAGAATTTGATGCGAACATCCTCCCAGTCAGTCAGGAAGTTCGAAGCATCGGAAATTGCAGAAATATTAGATTGAGATAAGGAATAGACTCCATGCATCGCTCTCCGATCAACGAGATTACAACCTGTCCAACTCATTTCTCATTAAACCCTTCATTTCCACTTCATCCACAAACAAGTATTTAAATCAGCATACTCTGAATTTTAATTCTCATCTCAACTCCTTGTTACATGTATCATCGGTAATTGGGACTGGAGTTGTACTACAGAGCGATAATTTACAACATTTTCTTGCAACAGGAGGTGAAAGAGCCAAATAAACAGTTTCAATAATTGATGGAGTGAATCCTATTTAGCATTCTGCTGTTATCTGATCAAAAGACTGGTACAAAGGAGTCGCGCAATGAGGGCTCAACCAGTGTTTATCGCTTGACTGAAACTCCTCTTCATCGTTACATTGAACTAATCAGCACAGTGATAACGTTTCCGAATCATTTAATGAAGGGAAACAGTGATAAAGAGTTTGGTTGGATAATTGAGAATGGAATGTTGGAAATGTTTAAAGAATACTAATTTATTGTCAAATCACAATCACTACACTTAGTCCTGATTTGACAATAAACATGATCATTTTATGTAAAATTATTGTTTAAACTCTTGTAAAATCTCATTATTCTTTCCACTGTAACTGAGAATATATCAAATTCTTTATGACTGAAAACATCATTTGCTGCATTTCTTCAAGTGAGTAAATTTTTTAAAATAAAGGTCCTTATGAAAATTTTTTTGTTCGTCAAATGAAGAAAATTCATTTCGGTACGACAAATCATAGCAGAAGAACTGATTTTTACGATAAAAAAAAATTTGCCACAAGCTTTTCTCGATGGAAGCGAATTGAAAAATTCTTGAGAATAAGAAAAAATTGTCAAATGATTCGTGTGAGTTTAATACAACCAATAATTACTATGATATCATTCTTGATCATTCTCGTTCATTGAATTCGATTTGGGGGGAGGGGGGGAGAGAGAGAAATTGAAGAAATCTCATATTTCCCTGGCAAATTGCATGAAATTCCAAATTCTTGAGCAGCAGGAAACCGTGAATTCAAAAATGTTCAATGACGTCTAAAGAATCTTTCAATTGGCTTCAGTCTTCGAAGTATTCACTACCTTCAAAATCAACTACCGCGATAATTCTTCCCATCCTAACTAGAAAATTCTCTAGTCATGCCTCTTCAACCCAACAATAATAGAAAATACTCACATTATCAATGGGCAGCTTGGCAGGCCTGGATCCAGCAGCGTGAATTCTCGTGTTACCAGTCAAAGGAGGACAGTTACCGGAAGAGGCAGGGCCAGAGCTGTTTCCGGCTGAATTGCCACCAGTCCCAAGTGGTGGTCCCTTTGCTGGTATAATACCGTGGCTTCTGTGATCATTGCTATTACCACCATGTTTAACTGGTTGGCCTGGATAACCACCGCGTCCACCATAGGGTGGCTTACCATCAGCTGGTTTAACAAAACCACCTCTTTGTGATGTGTGACTGGTTGATGATGCACCCCGTGGACCATTGCAACCGGGTTTCTTGAATTCCTGGGTTGACGGTGAATTTGGACAATTATTTCTACTTTGTAATCGCGGTGGTGCACCTGATGCTGGCGCTGGACTCGGTGGTACATCAACAACACCGAAGAGCATCTGAGGCTCGACCAGTAGGTGCTTCACGCGCGAGTAATTGCCCAATTTTGACTGGATCTGCTGGGTGGCACGATCTTGCGCGTCAGGATTAACCTGCAACAGGTTTTTGGAATGTTTCAATTTCACTTAATGGATAGATCAATAATTTAAGTTAACTATGACCTGATACTATTGGAAAACCCCAACGGATTCGTGACATTATATTTAGAGGGAAATTCCTCCGAGGATTAATCTCAAATACTGTTAGCATTTGCTATTCAACCGGACGATTCAATATGCGACCAGAAGAATCGAGCTTATTATATCACACAAAATTATCATAATATTCACATGAATCAGATTGATTGTATCAGATTGTTTTAATTGGACTGGTTCGGTTCTTTTCTGTACTGCTAACAGGAAGTCGCTCTAACAGAATATATTCCGCACTGCTTGCTCAATTATTCATAATTTGTTGAATATCCTCATCAAACTTCGATACCCTAACAATGGCCCGAGTGAAAACAAGTGGAACTGTTGGCAATTATGACGACCATTCGGAACCGACAAAGAATCATCAACGGATGGCGGATTCTTCGTCATGTCCCGGGGCCTCCAAAACGACAGCCGCGTAATATCATTCCACTTCCATATGTGTGTGTGTGCGTGAGGACTGAGAGAAGGATGGAAGGTGTGGGCGGGAAGGGAGGGATATGACCAGGTCAGGGTTTTCACGTCCGTCACGACCTCGCCTAACTTCACCTTCACCATTTACCGCTCTCTTTCGACACGACCAATTGCAAACACCAAACTAAACCATAGGCCTCTCATTCTCCATTATACACAATGGCTGGAGTGACAACTCTTACCTCATTTCCGAGGTTTTTCAGTTTAAGATTGTTGTTTAAGTGTTGAGTAATCATTAGCTGTGGGCTGAGTGACGTGGGCTTCGCAAAGGGCCAATTTCACTCACCACTGGAGTTGCAAACCCACATGTCTTTCTGTGTGTATTAAATCGTCTTCCCTTTGGCTAAAGAGAGCCGCCCCCTCCCCTCGCCGTACCGATCACCAGTGAAATACAACGTCGTAATTAATCACGCGCGAGTCAAGGTCCCGGAAGGTTCTACCTCTGTCTTTATCACTCGCATGGGAGGGGGCGGTTGTGTGCTCGGCTGTGTGTTAACCGAGTGAGAAGTATGTAAAGTGAAGCGAGGGCTGGTTTTAAAGTGACGGTAGGTGGGGATTGCTCGCCAACACGATCGGTAGGGTCAATTAGCGTTTCATTAGCGGGCTCAAACGCTCGATTTGTTCGTGCTCGGTGTGTATCTCGACCACATTGTGCGTGGAGAATTTCACTGATATTTTTGGCTGAAAGGGGAAACGTGAGAAGTCATTTTCAATGCGGTGATAATTGGAGGTTTTTCGCTCGGTTATTCAATGCTTTTCAATCGCGAATAACACGTATTGATTTTTTATTGATCAGATGATATAATTAATTTCTTTTTGTATTGTCTGTGAATGAATTTTGGGGATGAGTGATGGAAATTGGTTGAACTTTGGGAAATTTTGTTTTTCTTCTGAAAAAGTAATTTTCTCATTTTTTTTAGATAACTCAAATATTATCCAACAATCGAAATAGGGAACAAAGTGAAGGCCTTCGAAATTCGTTTTCATTTCCTCTTAGGAATCGAAAAATGGAAAACCGAAAAAATAAAGTAATTTAATAAATGTAATTGAGGAATAAAAAAATGAAGATATTTATTTTTATTTCGTCATTTCCGGAGATTGGAAGGGTTGAATATATTGTCGGCTGTTGGAGGGAGGTATGAGCGCGGAGAACGAGACCGAGTGTAAGGGCGTACGTGCCATCGTTTCTCGGGCTTTCCATTTTAAAATGTACGTGTCTCGCATCTTCCAGCGTCAAGCCCCGACTCCACCAGTATCACTGTGTATGCACTCATTCTACTTTTCCCTCCTGGACGTCTCTCGTTCACCCACACTCGGGCTTGTTGGCTCTTCTGGTGCATGCGAAATTCTCGCATTCTGCCTCGTCGAGGGAAATTCACGAGTTTCAGGGGAGTGGGAGAATATTAAATGGCGAGAGATCAAGATTTTTTTCCCCCTTTTATTTCCCGTTTTCTCGCGTTTTTTGGATTTATATGAATTTTTATTCTGTTTGGTTTTCTTTCTTTTCGTGAATGAAAGAGAATTCCGGTATTTCGGCATTGCCGTTTATTGTTAGAATAAAATTGTAATGGAAATGATTAAATTTCAATTTTGACGGAAAATTCAAGAATATGTGGTAAACAGAAAACAGAAATTTAGTTTTCATTAATTTTTTCGTCACATTGTGAATTTTCAATGGCGAAATTCCTTGAAATTCCAGTGAAAAGCTTTACGAAAATTTCTAAGAAGTGTACCGGAAATTTCAGTCAAAATGTTTCAAGTGTTCATGACAGGAATGCAAGAGTTATTTAAAAAATGTATAAAATGATTATAAACAACATAACCCAAGTACCAATAAATTAAAATACCACATGGTTTTCCAGCGATCCCATAAAAAAAATCTCCCCTTCATCTCTCTCGAAATAATCTCAAGAATCTTTTTCCTCTTTCATTCCTCCTTTTTCCCCACTTGCGACTCCTCCAACTTCCCCGAGAATCCCACTGGGTACGAGTGAATGGGTTAAAGGAGAATGTCGTCAGAATGTTTGAAAGTACTAATCATTCCAAAGTTAAAGAGGAATGAACGAAGAGCCCTGGACTCGAGAGAGATGGAAAATGCGTCGATCCACTCATCTGCGATTATATCTCAAACCCAGACATTTTCTTCCTTTGCGCACTGTCCTCCCGAGTTTTTTTCTCATAAGTATATATATATACCTTTGCGTAACCTCCAGACATTCAGACGAAAAAAAAGCGTGCAAGGGATGAGAATAGTGAGTAGAAAAAAATGGTCGAAAGGATGGAGACCGGGGAAAAATGAATCCTGAGAGAATGAAAAAATGGCGCTCGATCGGGCGCGCTAACAGTCGCTGAGGGTTTGTTTTTTTCATCGTCTTGTGAGCCTGAGGGCCGTCTGCCTACATCTTTATAAATCTCTACACGAAAAAGCTTAAATTATTTCCCTGTTATTATTATTTTTCTAAGAGATATTTTTGAAAAACTGATGATTAGACGGAACTTTTTCACTCAATTCTCCCAATTTTCACTACATTTCTTGAAAATTTTTATTACATTAAATCCACCGAAATTTCAAGAAATTTCGTTATTGAAAATTTAAAAATTTACTGAAAAATCAATGGAAACTATAAATTTCAGTTCAATTAATGCATGGAAATTAATAGAATTTAAGCGATTTCCGGTAAATGAATTCTTAAATGGTGAATTTTCCTGCAACTCAAAGATTTTAAATTTTATTGATATTTTTGATTTGTAATAGAATTGAATTTCACTCTGTTGGAATTTACTATGTAACAAACACTCTATGAAATTTCAATTTTTTTCCAATATTGAATATCACATTAAGATCCTACGAAACAAAGGTGTAACCAAATCCCTCAAAACGTTAATGACCAACGAGTGAATTCCGTTCACGCATTTCGTTAGTCAGTATTATTGATGCGATTGAATGTGCACACAAAACCGTTGGAAAATACGTATTTAGACCACAGTTGTACTGAAAATAGACCGGACGACTCATCTCACGCGCTACAGGATGGGAGGTAAAATGGTTAGCGTCAACAACATACTTCAGTCTTTATACATTTTAAACAAATGAGTGATTATTTTGAGGGTGTTAATCAGTAATTTCAGCGTGACGTTGAATTATTGTGTGTTAACGTATTTCAGGGTATTCTTGGAAGCTGTGAATAGCGAGAGAACTATTTGTTCGCATTATGCGATGATTAATAAAGGCATTCTCAGCGATCATTGGCTCGCGTAGTTTTGATGAACTCGTGAATTCTCTGATTATGAAGCGAAAGTCTTCGTGCATAATCCAGTGACAATATCATCATTAGTGTTCTACAAACATTCTGGAATGTTTCCGATTAATGAGAAGCAATCAACAAATTATAGCCTTTAGCCATTCAATTCTGAAATCAATCTGGAATGTTTCATCAACAGTAATTTTGAATGACGCACAGTCAAATAAAAATGTCTGGCATTTGCCGACGAATGAAACATTGCACGTTATCTTTATGCCCCCTATGACCCCGAAAACTGTTCAACATTATCACTTTACTATCAATGAACTACTCCATAATTTAAATCTATTACAGCTTGAACCTCGAAAAAAGTATAAAAGTCTGTCAGAGTGAACTGAAGAGCTCTTTGTTACTCCTCCATGATGAAATCCCCCACAACAAAATAACTCCCAAAGAAAACATTATTTTCGGAATCAACAATTTTTTTTTTATTTATTCGAGTCAAAGGCATTCATGCATTCACTCGCCAAGTTTCGATAAACTCATGATTTTTCTGATTATGAACGGAAAGTCTTCATGCATAATCCGGTGATAATATCATCATTGCATTCTGCAATGTCTTTAATAGATGATAAATAAATAGCACATTTCAGCTTGCATTCATTCAATTATCATTGAGCTACTCCACAATTGAAAGTGAATTGAAAGAAAGCCCTTTGTTACTCCTTCATGAAATCCTCCAGTCCACCCCCAAACCAAAATAATTCCCAGTGAAAGCATTACGTACCCAACCGACACACAAAAATCTCGAAAAAAACCTCTTAATCAACCAGTTATTTCGGATTTATCGGAGTCAACTTGTAGTGTTTATTACGTGTACGTTTGGTCGGGTGGAGTAAATGGAAGGCATCGATGTCACACATAAATACACACAATGGATACAAACACACATACATATACCGTGAAGGAGCCAGATGGGCCAGAGGGATTAATTAATCGTGCCCCTTGGCAGAGCTCCATACGCTAGTCAAACGTGTGTGCTGAGCCTGTTTGTGTGTGAGTGAACACAACGCGTGTCTATGGGTTAGGTTTGGGGGGAAAGGGTAGGGTGATGGTGGTGGCAATGGGCACACGAGTGGGTGGAGGGAATGGCGGCGATTTCGCGTGTTCAACTCTGCCAACTGA